CCTTCTTTCCTTCCCTTTTATCTTTTCTTCCTTCCCTCTTTCTTTCTTTCCTCCCTCCTTCCCTCCCTCCCTCCTTCTCCCTCCCTCCATTCCCTTCCACCATTTTGTTCTTCCTTCTCTTTCTTTCCTCCTTCCCTTCTTTCATTCCATCCTTCTTCCTTTTTTCCTTTCTCCTTCCCTTCCATCCTTCTCTTCCACCCTTTCATCCTTCCCTCCAGTCTTTCCTTCCTTCTTTCTTCCCCTTTTCGCCTTCTATCCTTCCCTCTCTCCCTTCCTTCCTTCCCTCTTTCCTCCTTCCTTCCCTCTCTCCCTCATTCTTCTTCCATCCTCCCCTTCCTCCCTATTGTCCTTCCTTCCTTCTCTCTTTCCTTCCTCCTTCCCTTCCTTCCATCCTTCTCTTCCTCCCTTCCTCCTCTCTTCCTTCCTTCCATCCTTCTCTTCCTTTTCATCTTCCTTCCTTACTTTTTGTTTTTCCCTTCTTTTGTCTTTCCTTCCCTCTTTCCTCCCTCCCTTCCTCTTTCTTCTTCCACCCTCCCCTTCCTCCCTTTTGTCCTTCCTTCTCTCTTTACTTCCTCCTTCCCTTCCTTCCATCCTTCTCTCCCTTCCTTCCTTCCTTCCTTCCTTCCTTCCTTCCTTCCTTCCTTCCTTCCTTCCTTCCWTCCWTCCATCCTTCTCTTCCTTTTCATCCTTCCTTTTGCTTTTCCCTTCTTTTGTCTTTCCTTCCCTCTCTCCTCCCTTCCTCCCTCTTTCTTCTCTATCCTTCCCTTCCATCCTTCCTTTCCTCTTTCCTCCCTGCTGCCCTCTCCCTCTTTCTCCATCCATCTTTTCCTTCCTCTCCTTTGTTCTTCCTTCCTTTCCTCTTTCTCCCTCCTTCCCTCTCTTTCTCCTTTTTTCCCTCCCTTTCATCTTTCCTTCCTTCTCTCTTTCCTCCCTTCTTCTCTCCCTCCCTCCATTCCCTTCCACCCTTTCGTCCTTCTTTCCTTACCTCTTTCCTTCCTCCTTCCCTTCCTCCCTTCCTTCCATCCTTCTCTTCCTCCCATTCTTCCTTCGTTCTCTTTTTCCTTCCTCCTTCCCTTCCTTCCATCCTTCTCTTCCACCCTTTTGGCCTTCCTTCCTTCCCCTTTTGTCCTTCCCTCTTTCCCTCCCTCCCTCTTTCTCCTTCTATCCTTCCCTTCCATCCTCCCTTCTCTCTTTCCCTCCTTCCCTCTTTCTCTTTCCATCCTCCCCTTCTTCCCCTTTGCCCTTCCTTCCCTCTTTCCCTCCTTCCCTCTTTCTCTTTCCATCCTCCCCTTCCTCCCCTTTATCCTTCCCTCCTTTCCTTTCCTCCCTCCCTCTTTCCCCTTCCATCCTTCCCTTCCTCCCTTTTGTCCTTCCTTCCTTCTGTCTTCCCTTCCTCCTTCCTTCCTTCCATCCATCACTGGGCAGACAGTCCTCTTAGCAGGGAGTGCTGGCATGCGCCCTCCAAGTTAGAAAGTTTGCCCATTCCTGCAATATTCAGTATCTTGAAGCTTCCCGTAATAGCACCTCACTCTGTCTCCAACCTTCCCTTCAAAATCCCTTTTCCCCTTCCAAGCAAAAATGCAGCGAAGAGAGCATGGTGCTGTCGCCTCACCTGCATTTGGAAAACATTTGGAGCAAAACTTGGGCCCTCCGGGTGTTTTGGATGTCATCTCCCACCATTCCCAACAACCTCAGGCCCTTTCCTTTTCCCTTTCCTTTTCCACTTAAGCAGCTAAGGAGGAAAAGGAGGGAGCTTGAAACTGTTAGGAATTATGGGACTTGAAGTCCAAAACACCTGGAGGGCCCAAGCTTGCCCATGTCTAATCTAAACATTTCCCCATGTGAAATTACCTGGGAAAGGTGGGGAAGAAAAAAGTTCTTGCTAAAGCAACAACAACAAACCAAGCTTTGTGTCTAGATCCTGGGAAGTCGTGCTTCCCATACTCTATTCTGCCCTGGTCAGAACACACCTGGAATCACACTGTGTCCAATTCTGGGCAACACAATTCAGGGAAGATGCTGACTCTAAGCTGGAATGTGTCCAGAGGAGGGCGACTCAAAGGATCAAGGGTCTGGAGAACAAGCCCTATGAGGAGTGGCTTAAAGAGCTGCATGTTTAGCCTGCAGAAAAGAAGGCTGAGAGGAGACATGATGAGGGCCAGGTATCAAGATGTGAGGGGAAGTCATACGGAGGAGGAAGCAAGCTTGTTTTCTGCTGCCCTGGAGACTAGGACACAGTGGACCAATGGCTTCAAACTACAGGAAAGGAAGGAGATTCCACCTGAACATGAAGAGGAACTTCCTAATTGTATGAGAGAACTGTTCATCTGTGGAACTCTATGCCTCGGAGTGTGGTAGAGGGTCCTTTTTAAAATTTTATTTATTTATTTACAGTATTTATATACCGCTTTTCTCACCCCTATGGGGACTCAAAGCTTTTTTGGAGGCTTTGAAGCAGAGGCTGGGTGGCCATCTGACGGGGGTGCTTTGAATGTGATTTTCCTGCTTCTTGTCAGAATGGGGTTGGACTGGATGGCCCATGAGGTCTCTTCCAACTCTAGGATTCTATGATTCTAAAGATACCAACTCACTTGCATTAGAAACCATTTGGAGCAAAATATTTTCCCCAGCAAGATCACCTGGGACAGGTGGGGAGAGTAGAGATCTTGCAAACAAAACAAAACAAAACAAAACAAACTAAGACAGGGAGACAGATAATCTCACCTGCATTTTGAAAACACCAAGATCAAAACACATTTCTCAAGTAAAGTTACCCTGGGAAGGTGGGGGAGAAAAGAGCTCTTGCCAAAACAACAACAAACCAAGATAAAGATTGTATTGTCAAAGGCTTTCATGGCTGGAATCACTGGGTTGTTGTAGGTTTTTTCGGGCTATATGGCCATGTTCTAGAAGCATTCTCTTCTGATGTTTCACTTGCATCTATGGCAAGCATCCTCAGAAGTTGTGAGACCTCACAACCTCTGAGGATGCTTGCCATAGATGCAGGCAAAACATCAGGAGAGAATGCTTCTAGAACATGGCCATATAGCCCGAAAAGTCTACAACAACCCAGAGATAAAGACTGCATTTGAAACCCTTTGGAACAAAAGATTCCCCCCAGCAGGATCCCCTGGGGAAAAATGGGGGAGAGCAGAGATCTTGCAAAACAAACCCAAAACAGGGAGGACATCTCACCTGCATTTAAAAAAAAACCTAAGTTCAAAAGTCTTTCCCAAGTAAAATGGTAATGCGTGAAGAGAATAATTCTCTCCAAAACAACAACAAACCCAGTTCAAGATACCAACTCACTTGCATTTGAAACCATAGAATCAAAGAGCTGGAAGAGACCTCCTGGGCCATCCAGTCCAAGAAGCAGGAATATTGCATTCAAATCACCCCTGACAGATGGCCATCCAGCCTCTGTTTCAAAGCTTCCAAAGAAGGAGCCTCCACCACACTCCAGGGCAAAGAGTTCCACTGCTGAACGGCTCTCACAGTCAGGAAGTTCTTCCTCATGTTCACGTGGAATCTCCTCTCTTGTAGTTTGAAGCCATTGTTCCATTGCATCCTAGTCTCCAGGGAAGCAGAAAACAAGCTTGTTCCCTCCTCCCTGTGGCTTCCTTCCACATATTTATACATGGCTATCATATCTCCAACACCACTGTGGTGGTGTTGGAGGAAGTTCTGAGAGTGCCTTGGACTGTGAGAAGATCCAACCAGTCCATCCTCCAGGAAATAAAGCCGGACTGCTCATTGGAGGGAAGGAGACTAGAGACAAAGTGGAAGTCCTTTGGCCACATCATGAGGAGACAGCAAAGCCTAGAGAAGACAATGATGCTGGGGAAAGTGGAAGGTAAAAGGAAGAGGGACCGACCAAGGGCAAGATGGATGGGTGGCATCCTTGAAGTGACTGGACTGACCTTGAAGGAGCTGGGGGTGGTGACGGCCGACAGGGAGCTCTGGCGTGGGCTGGTCCATGAGGTCACGAAGAGTCGGAGACGACTGAACGAATGAACAACAACAACAATCATATCTCCTCTCATCCATCTCTTCTTCAGGCTAAACATGCCCACCTCCTTAAGCCGCTCCTCATAGGGCTTGTTCTCCAGACCCTTGATCATTTTAGTCGCCCTCCTCCGGACACATTCCAGCTTGTCAACATCTCTCTTGAATTGTGGTGCCCAGAATTGGAGCAAAAAGTCCTCCAGCACCCCCAGCAAGATCACCTGGAGAAAGTAAGGGAGAGAAGAGATCTTGCAAAAACAAACCCAAGACAGGGAGGCCATCTCACCTGCAAGACTTTCCCAAGTAAAATGGCTTGGGGAAAGGTGCCCTTTCCAAAACAACAACAAACCCAGTTCAAGATCTGCCAGGGGTGATTTGAATGCAATATTCCTGCTTCTTGCCAGAATGGGGTTAGACTGGATGGCCCAGGAGGTCTCTTCCAACTCTTTGATTCTATGATTAAGATACCAACTCACTTGCAGTTGAAAATATTTTCCCCAGCAAGATCACCTGGGGAAGGTGGAGGAGAGAGGAACTCTTGCAAAAGAGAGAGAGAGAGAGAGTCAGGAATGCCATCTCACCTGCTTTTCAAAAACACCAAAATCAAAACACTTTCCCAAGTACAATGAGCTAAGGAAGGAGGGGGAGAGAAGCGCTCTTGCTGCAAAACCAACCAAGGCAGGGATGCCACCTCACCTGCATGCTACACACATTGTAGAATTGTAGTACAATGGCCTGGGGAAGGTGGTGGAGACAAGAGCCTTTGCCCCAAACCTCCAGACCCAGATGGGGAGGCGCCAAAGTGCAGATGCGCTCCAGTACGCAAAAAGCCGGCTTGGCGCACCTTGCTCCATCCATCCATCCATCTATCCATCCCTGGGTGCTCCCTTCTCCGTCCGCCTCCCTCCTTCCTTCCCTCCTCTTCCTCCCAACCAAAAGTTCCTATAGCTCAACCTTTCTCTTTATTCCGATTTCCTAAACCGGTTTTGCTTTACCTCTGGAGCCGAAGCCCAGCTTGAGCGCGCGCGCCTCCCCGGCTTTTTCCCAGGACTGAAGGATGGATGGGTGGGTGGATGGAAACTCCCCCTCCTTCCCTCCCTCCATCCCTTCATCCCTCCCTCTGGCCAGCTGCTCCGCCCACATGGCATTCTGGGAGATGTAGTTGCCCACCTGCAGCTCCCGACATGCACCGGTGGAGAGAGATTGATAGAGATTGAGAGAGATAGTGAGAGAGATTGAGAGAGAGATTGAGAGAGTGAGAGAGAGTGAGAGAGAGTGAGAGAGTGAGAGAGAGTGAGAGAGAGATTGAGAGAGAGAGAGAGAGAGAGAGAGATGGAGAGAGAGAGAGTGAGAGAGCGAGAGAGAGAGAGAGAGAGTGAGAGTGATAGAGAGTGAGAGAGAGAGATTAAGAGATAGAGAGAGAGATTGAGAGAGAGAGATTGAGAGACAGAGAGAGAGATTGAGAGAGTGAGAGAGAGATTGAGAGTGATTGAGAGAGAGAGGAGAGATTGAGAGATAGAGAGAGAGATAGAGAGAGATTGAGAGACAGAGAGAGATTGAGAGAGAAAGATTGAAGAGATTGAGAGAGAGAGAGATTGAGAGAGTGGAAGAGATTGAGAGAGAGAGATAGAGATTGAGAGAGAGAGAGAGAGTGAGAGAGACAGAGATTGAGAGAGAGAGAGAGAGAGAGAAATTGATAGAGATTGAGAGAGAGTGAGATTGAGAGACAGAGAGAGAGATTGAGAGAGAGAGATTGAGAGAGAGAGATAGAGAGAGAGAGAGAGATTGAGAGAGATAGAGATTGAGAGACAGAGAGAGATTGAGAGAGAGAGAGAGAGAGAGAGAGAGAGAGAAATTGATAGAGATTGAGAGAGAGTGAGATTGAGAGACAGAGAGAGAGATTGAGAGAGTGAGAGAGATTGAGAGAGAGAGAGAGAGAGAGATAGAGATTGAGAGAGAGATGAGAGAAGAGTTGAGAGAGAGAGAGATTGAGAGGAGAGAGAGAGAGAGAGAGAGAGAGATGAGAGAGAGATGAGAGAGAGAGAGAGAGAGATTGAGAGAGAGAGAGAGAGAGAAATTGAGAGAGATGAGAGAGATTGAGAGAGAGAGATGAGAGAGAGATGAGTGAGAGAGAGAGTGAGAGAGAGAGAGATTGAGAGAGAGGGAGGGAGGGAGAGAGAAAGAGAGAGAGAGAGATGCTGGCCTCCCCTGGCTCCCTTCCAGTCCAAACCACCCAAGGCTTTGGAGACTGAGCTTCCCTCCTTGGGTGCTCTGTTTCCCTCTTTGCCTCCCTCCCTTCCTTGCAGCTGGAGCAGGGTCTCTCCTATACACAATGAACTAGAATGGGGTTTGATCCCCTTGTGGCTTCACTTGGGGCCTCTCTCCTCTCTTGCTTTTTGGCAAATCCAGAGTCTGGTGAACCCATCTGGGAACCAACAAGGGCAGCTTCCATATGTCCAATCCAGGTTCGCAGAGTGTGGTGAACCCGGCTGGGAACCCACAGGGACGGCCTCCATATGTCCACTGAGCGCATGACTCTCCATGTGTGTGTGGCACGCAGAGTGCCTCTCCTTTGGCTATTTTTAGGGATGCTTTGTGCACATCAGCAGCAGAGACGAGGCTTCGGGGACTGGTCCTCTTGCCTCGGAGCAGAACAGGAGGCGGCCTGCCAAAAACGCACAGCCCAAAAACCCTTGGTGGTTTACATAAGGCCTTCTGCCATGCAGGGAAAGGCAATTGGAAGAGAACCCAAGGGCTGTCCGGTTCAACCTGATTCAGCCAAACAGGAATACACAAAGCACACCCCAACAGATTCAGCCTTTGTCTAAAAACCTCCAGAGAAGGAGCCTCCATCACACTCACACAGCTATTAGGGGTGTGTGAAATAGAACAATTTAGAGCAGTCCTGGATTACTTACAATCCCTCGTTGTCCGAGTAGGATTGTCCTCCAAGTTCAGTGTCCTGGTGGTGGGTCTGTAGATAACTGTGGAGCCCTATTCTTGACCCGCATGTTCTCTCGCAATGAGAACCTTGGTTTCCAGGTGGAAGGTGTCCTGGTTGGGGTTGGCTTGATGTGCCTTCCTCTTGGCACATTTCTCTCTTTCACCCTCCATTTGTGCCTCTTCAAATTCTACAGCACTGCTGGTCACAGCTGACCTCCAGCTGGAGTACTCAAGGGCCAGGGCTTCCCAGTTCTCAGTGTCTATGCCAGAGTTTTTAAGGTTGGCTTTGAGCCCATCTTTCAATCTCTTTTCCTGTCCACCAACATTCCATTTTCCGTTCTTGAGTTCGGAGTAGAGCAACTGCTTTGGGAGACGGTGGTCAGGCATCTGGACAATGTGGCCGGTCCAGCAGAGTTGATGGCGGAGGACCATCGCTTCAATGCTGGTGGTCTTTGCTTCTTCCAGCATGCTTCCCAAGAGATTTGGGAAGACAAGAGATTTGTCTTCCCTCTCGATGGACTGTCACGTAGTTGTGGTGAGGGGGCTTGCGTGTTCCAATGAACAACTGGAGTCGTGCCCTCCCAGGAATGGCCGCAGGTGAGGTCTCCAGTCCTGGATACTGAGATCCAGATTGCTAGGCTGCTATTGGCAGTGCCTGGAAAGACTATATATATTTATTGAATCAGAAGCAAACCAAGGGTACAGTTGTAATGTATTTAAAAAACACAAAGTTTAAAAACTTGGCATTATACTAAATGTCCTTTGACCACTATCTGGCCAATTAGAGTCCCTCTGTTGTTGCTATAAGGAGTTCATCCATTGTTCATGTGGCAGGGCTCAGGCTGCATTGTAGTAGGTGGTTTGTTCCACACTGGGCATGTGTATTCAGTAGTAGAGTAGCCAAGCGCAAGGGCAGATGCTTTCACTGTATCTGGTTGTGATCCCCAGGTTGTGCCAGTCAGCTTTCGTATGATATTATTTCGGGCACCCGCTTTTTGCTTGATAGCCAAGCAGTGCTTCTTGTAAGTCAGAGCACAGACCAGAGTGACTCCCAGGTATTTGGGTGTGCTGCAATGCTCCAATGCTTAAACATCAAGAAAACCAAAGTGGTCTTCCAGCAGTCACTGGCCAATCCTTCTCCAATGCCAGAAATACAGCTCAATGGTGTAACATTAGAAAATGTTGACTGTTTCCGCTCCCTTAGCAGCCATCTCTCCACCAAAGTCAACATTGACACTGAAATTCAACACCGCCTGAAGTCTGCGAGTGCAGCATTTTTCTGAATGAAGCAGATAGTGTTTGAGGACCGGGACATCCGCAGAGATACCAAGGTGCTTGTTTATAAAGCTATTGTCCTCCCAACTCTGCTATACGCCTACGAGACGTGGACTGTCTACAGACATCACATGCAATTCCTGGAACGATTCCATCAGCGCTGCCTCCAAAAAATCCTTCAAATCTCTTGGGAATACAAGCAGACAAACGTCAGCGTGCTGGAAGAAGCAAAGACCACCAGCACTGAAGTGATGGTCCTCCGCTATCAACTCCGCTGGACCGGCCACGTTGTCCGGATGCCCGGCCACAGTCTCCCAAAGCAGTTGCTCTACCACAAACTCAAGAACGGAAAACGGAATGTTGGTGGGCAGGAAAATAGATTTAAAGATGGGCTCAAAGCCAACCTTAAAATCTCTGGCATAGACACTGAGAACTGGAAAGCCTTGGCCCTTGAGCGCTCCAGCTGGAGGTCAGCCACCGCCGCTGGTTCAGAACCTTAATTCTGTGTCCTAAGTGCAGGGGGGGGGCAGGGGGCAGGGGAGGTGTGTTGTCTTCTTCCTTTTTTGAATTTAAAGGTGTTTTTGTGGGGTTTTTTTTCAGTGATGGTCACTCCTTGGATTGTGAGGAGTTTTGTTGCCAAATTTGGGGTCATTTGGCCCCATAGTTTTTTTGTTTTTAAGGTACTCATTACGGACAGAGCATTTATATATATATAGACTAGCTGTACCCGCCATGCTGTGGCCAGCCTTCCCTCTTTCTCTCCTTCTTTCCCTCTTTCCTTCACTCCCTCTTTCCTTCCTTCTTTCCTGTCTTTCCTCCTCTTCTTCCTTCCTTCTCTATCTCTTTTCATCCTTCCCCCCTTTTCTTTTTCTTCTGCTGTCTCTCTTGTCTTCCTTATACGTTCATTATTAACTTAATATCTTTTATTACATATTAAAACTTTTTAACTTACTTCTCTTCCCTTACTCCCGGTTCTCGCATCTCATCTTTTCCCCCTCTTTCCTGTACTTAATTAATTACTTCACATTAAGTAATGAAGCCTTCCTTAATACGGACTGACAAAAATATACAAAAAACAAATACTTTTTCTAGAACAAAAAAACATATTACTGCTTCATTCTTTTTTTTAAAAAAATATATATCACTAGATGTATCCGCCACGCGTTGCTGTGGCCAACCTTCCCTCTTTCTCTCCTTATTCCCCTCCTTCCATCACATCCTCTTTCCTTCCTTCCTTCCTTCCTTCCTTCCTTCCTTCCTTCCTTCCTTCCTTCCGTCCGTCCGTCCGTCTTTCCTTCTCTTCTTCCATTCTTCTCTATCTCTTTCCTTCCTTCCCCCTTTTTCTTTCTCTTCTGCTGACACTCTTTTCTTCCTTATCTCTTTCCTTCTTTCCTTCCTCCCTCTTTCTTATATCTTCTCCCCTTCCTTCCCTCCTTTCCTTCCTTCTTTCCCTTTTTTCTTTCCTTCTCTCCTTCCTTCCTTCTCTTCCTTCTTCCTTCCTTCCTTTCCTTCCTCCTTCTTCTTCCTTCCTTCTCTCTTTCCTTCCTTCCCCCCTTTTCTTCCCTCCCTCTTTCTCTCTTTCTTCCTTCTCTACCTTTCCTGCCTTCTTTCTTTGCCATTTCCTTCTCCCTTTCCTTCTTTCTTTCTTTCCCTCCCTCCTTTCTTTCTTTCTTTCTTTTTTCTCCCTTCCCTCCTCTTTCTTCCCCTTTTTCTGTATTGTCATTTAGCTTTTCATTTTTTTTTGGGGCTTTTTAAGTCCCTTCTGCTGTGTTTTTCAATATTTTTGAGTGAAGGACATACATTGGGTTGTTAGGTGTCTTGTGTCCAAATTTGGTGTCAATTCGTCCAGTGGTTTTCAAGTTCTGTTAATCCCAC